GTCACTGTTCAAATCTGCCCTTCATTTATTTGCAAATGACCAGACAATGTAGTTCAAATAATTAAGTTGTTATCCCAAGAATATTTTGCAAAATGATGTTTAGCCTTTAAAAATGTCTTATATTTTGGGACTGGGGTAGTGTCATCTCACATAATCTTCATTCATTATATAGATTACATTTTCATTTATTTATGTTTTAGAAAAGTATAGGTCGAGTGTTAGTCCAGACGTGTGTCACACGTGCAAGCTTACTAGTACAAGGTTAAAAGAAGTATGCAAGTTCAAAAAAAATGCAGGTGCATTTGGAACTAAGTGTTGACGCATTGTAGTGATTATAGTCGTCTCTAGATGGTCTACGGATATGGATGCAATTTTTAGTGTTTGTTGTACCACCATGATTAAAGATGAATAGATCAAAAGTTTTCCTGAAAAATGTGTTGACACATTGATTATTTTTCAGAATTGTCTGAAATGCAGAGAGAAGTTCTCTTCAAGAGCACCACACTTCTAAAAGCAGATCAAACTAAAACAACGATGATTTTGGTAATGCGTTTTCCTTTACAACTCCGTCGTGAAGTTTTGAGTCGGCATATCATCTTGAGATTTACGAAGTCCTGAAAGTGCATCGCTGGAAATCCTGAAATAAATCCAGAAATAATGCGAGCACCAGGACTTGAACCCTGGTGGGCTAGGATATCACTGTCTCTCTAACCATCCAACCACATGTTGGTTCGCAGTTGTACTAGAGATATTTGCATGGATGAATTGTGCTATTTCCTATAATTACTTTGAGTGTTGCGGGCTTGGTTTAGTAAAACGGACGAACGTCTGTCTTATATAAATTATGTTCGAACTTTGCTGATTTTTTTGTGTTTGATAAAAATCATTCGGTTTTTGAAATGTAGTTTGAAATATATGTGGGCATGGTTGCATGGCCGGTCCCGTATCACTGTCTGTGGACTGGTCTCCACCGGGCGGTGGACGGATACACTGTCCGATTTAAATTTATGGGTTGGAGATGTCCTAAGGCTTGCAGTATCCGAAAATCCAATTAGGCTCCAGGTGCATGTGCTTCTGCATGCAAAAAATGTTTTTTAAAAATATCAAAACAAATCTAATAAATTTTGATGTATTCATAGTCACATCCAAATGCTACCTGCAAATTTTTAGGTAAAAATGTTAGGCATTTTGTCTTGCACAAAAACAAATTGAATACCAAATGTTACAATTAAATTTGTTTTTTCACCGACAAAACATGCTGCTCCGCTTCACATGAAAATCATTAAGCATGCTTACGACACTACACAAATATTTACAAAAAAGTAATTAATTTTGCTTACTATTTTTTTCGAATTTACTGTCCATGCGGCGCAAATGCACCCGGAGCCAAAAAGCCCTCCAGAAGTTTCTATTTCTAAATATAAAACGCCTCATTGGTTCAATTTGAATTATCAAAACGTCTTGTATATTCATAAACGCGGTAGTACTAACGACGATCCACCAATCCATCCCAGCACAATAAGCATGCCGAAGAGCCCTCGCCGCCGCCTAGAAGTCCATCTGCAGCCACTTCTTGTAGTAGACACAAGTGACCGGCGAGATGACCCCATCCGGCGAGCACTCATCGATCCTGGGACAAACCCCGCATGGAATCCCATCTATCATGCCGCCTTGCGGCGCGCCACCCCGCCGGTAGCACACCCTCCCGGCTCTGACCGCGCTGAACTCTCCATCCCCGGTGCTCCTGCACTCCTCGAGCACCCTGTCGAGCGCCATGGTCTGCAGGATGTCCCTGATCTGGTCGATCGAGTACCCTCCGCTGGGGTCTTCCCTCTCGACGCCATTGTGGACCATGTCCGGCGTGGCAGCGCCGAGCCTGTCAATCTGGTCGAGGCACCTGCGGCGCACGGCCGCCACGGTGTCGGTATCGAGCTGACCGTTGTGGTACCAGGTTCCTCCGGTGATCTCCGGAGAGGGTTCCATGCTGAAGTCCATGAAGACCTTCTTCCCGCGGGGGCGGACGTCCGTGACCTCCTTGAGGATACCCCGCTGGACGAGGGCGCGGGTGAGCTTGTTGAGGGTTGGGGCAGTCAGCTTCAACACGTAGCGGAGGTCCTGGCTCGACATGCCCTTGTTACCCGCCGCGAAGATGCGCTCATAGACCTCCCGCTCCGGCCCCTTGAGGTTGTTGAGGATGGCGGCAGGGGGCTGAACATCCGGCGTGGAGGTCGGAGCAGGGGCGTCGGTGGATTTGGAAGCCGGAGATATGGCGGGCTTGACGTCCGGTTGGGCTGGCATGCCTGAGGAAGGTTCCAGCGGGCGCTTGCGCGGCGGCATGGCGGGGGCGACGAGGAGCGGCGGCGCCGGCAGTTGGGTTTGGAGGGGATGAAATCGCGGGGGTTTGGCTGGGTCTTGCCGTCATGTTTTAAGATAGAAGAGGTCGCGTGAAAAGACTAGTCGAGAAAACTTGCGGGCCGCGCAACTGAGGAAAGCTTTTGAGCTTCCGAATGAGCATTTTCCAAAAAAAAAAATATGCCTAAATGTATGTACTTTTTTTATTTCAAATAATAAGTGACACACGTGTGGCACGAAACAATCCGGTTCTGACGTTTTTTTTTTTTTTTTTGCGGAACGGTTCTGACGTTTTTAACAACAAAAGTTGTCATCCAAAATGAAAAAAACAACTTAAAAATACTGAAACTTGCCATAAGAAAAGAAAGTTGCCATCCTCATGTCATTAGTCATAAAAAACGTTCAGAGTTATCATGTGTTCGTCCACACGTGTGGCACTTATCAGGGTTCTTTTTTATTTGCAAACTAATGCAAAAAAAATTGGTTTCATACATGGGTTGCCAAAAACCTAGTGAGCTAAAACATAAGAGGACCATAAAAAAGTAGTGCTCTTAAATTTTAATCACCAAAAATGTATTCATTTCATCTAAGTTTGTGGATGCATTTGAAACTAACATACTGAGACGTTCACTATGCCAATTTTGAAGAAGGGTTTCCTTCCCAAACTTTGGAACATAGTTGTCACACGGTGTGTATTCTAATCAAAACATCATCAATATTGATAAATACGAAAATAATAATGAACAAAAGTTTGTGATGTATCTACAACTTATTGAATTTTTATTGGCGTTATTCAGATTTTATTTGCAACTAAAATCTCCTTAGCGCTCTTAACAACTCATAAGTTTCTCTTTTTCACTCTCAAAGATAGTCTTAAAGCAAAGAGAGATGAACACAAGAAATGGGTCAACAAAGGGAGGAGCTTTGCCTCCAAAACACAATGCTCTCTAGGCCCTCACAAAGTCTAGGAAATGGCTCACCCGCACAAGGGTCATGGTGTCTATTCATAGAGAAAGCGAAAATCTTACTCTAACAAAGTAACTAGCCCGATCGCCTTCTCTTTGTCTTTGCGCATTTGTTTTTCATATGATATTTCTTTAATGTAAAAAGTTTCATGTCTTTGCTCTCAAGATGTGAATGTTTTCAAATTTGAAATGAAATTTTATGATCTACATACATGTGACTGCTCGATTTTTGTTTTGATCTAATATATAATAAGGAAGTATGCAAAATTACACAACTTTATAGTTTTCTTGCCATCACTATTATTGGAGGTAAAAAGCCATATAAAAATGTTAGAAAAAATACTTGTAAATTTCTAGAGAAATAAGTTTGTCATTGTTCATTTGTGTTAATCGATATGTTTGCACATGTGCAATTACTAGTTCACAACATAGATGAGTTGAAATACAAGGCGGTCCAAGCAATTAGACATTTAAAAGAAAAATCCAAAAAGCACATTTTTTTCATACCATCAGAAGTTTCCAAAATAATTTAGCATGAACTCAAGCAATACATTAGGAATCTATAAACATTTGCGGAAAAATGTTTTCACTTTTGTTGTGCTCAATTTTTTTGTAGAGCTGAAGTAACAGATAGTATTGCTTCAATTTTTAATTTGTTATCCTTATTAACAAAATTGTGTCTTTATCCTCCAGTTTATGGGTGCGGCTAGTATTGAAATAATACAGTTCTGAAGTTAACCCTAAAGAGTAACTAGACTTACTCCTAGTTCTGTTCAAAAATTACTAGTGCTTATTTGATTCAACAGTTTCATAGGAAATTTGAAGGTTTAGAATGCTTAGGGTTGTGCGTGCGTGAGTGCTTACTCCTAGTTCCGTTCCTTTCAGAAAGTATGAGTGCTTATTTGATTCAACTTGTTTTCATAGGAAATTTGAAGGCTTAGAATGATTAGAATTTTCTTGTGCGTAGGATTGGAAGATGTGGGAATTTAATCTTGGGTTGTTTTGGAATACATTCCAAAGGAATTTTGCATTCATCTTAGAAATATTCTTTAATTTCAAACAAATTTGATGCAAATTCAAACTTTTGGAACCCAAACAAACATGACATTGTATTCCTCGATTCCTGAGTTTGCAAGAACCGTACGAATCGAAGTGTTACCCCTAGATAAAGTGGCAACCTGATAATCATGTAACCACATGTTTCTAATATTAACAGGAAAATCTTGGCAACATTACTCAACTATAATACAGTAATAAATTCTATAGCAAAGCTGTATACTGCGTCTCCTACTGCATAGTGAAGAAACAATTTCAGTGGTACATACAGTGCAGATATGCCTGAATGCAGAATCTGAATCGAATTGACCAAAGTTAACTCTGCAATCCATAAACCAGTTCTGTACCAAAGACTGACTAGTGTAAACAGACCAAAGAACAGCAAAAAATACATGATTTAATTCACAGTAGTGAATAAAACCTTATAGGCTCACTCTGATGGTTTCGATGGCATTATATGATTTAACAATGTACACTGAACATTTCCACCATTTTACAGCTGTTAGGAATCATCGAATTTTACAAATTACTGAAATGTAACAGGTGAGATCCTGGTTGCATCTCCAGCGAACATCAAGATTAAGGTTGACTGAGTAAGAGGTGTCGTGTGTCACAGTGTCGGTCTTCTCATTTGGCAGCCTGCTCGATCACAGATATCTTCGTCCACCTTTCCTGCTCTTCGGGTGCATTGTTTCCCTGAAGAGGTGGCAACGAGAAAGCACTGACTGTCGAGCTTTTGCTTCGGATCTCTTTCAGAGCCCTAAGCGCGGCGACCGTACTCTTCATGTACATGCTCTCCATGAACTCAATCTCATCAAGCTCCGGAATACATCTGCTGTTAGCCAAGGAAGAACTGGGGTTCAGAGGCTGGTCCGCAGTGTTGCCATCTTCCTTTCCCTCTTCAATATATACAGATGGTTTGCTTGATGGCAGGAGCTGGTCGAGCATGGCCTCGCACTCCTTCACAAGCTTGTACAGGAGGTCAGTGGTGAAGAAAGGCTGAAGCAGCACATTTTGGATGAAGGGCAGACAGATAAGAGCCCCAGTTCTCTTGTCATACTTCTTGAGAATCTTCACCAGCCCTGTAATTGCAACAGAAACATAAGCATCGTCGATGATGAAATATCAAATACCTAGGCACGGAGTAGTAATATAGTAGCCAAAAGTAAAGGTTCAAATGGCACACAGACCCCGAGTCTAATAATCAGCACCTTAGACTCAATGAACTTTATCGTTAGCCAAATTCTAAAAATAAATTAGGTGAAATCTGCTGAAAACGACAGACAGGAAACAAACATACAAGTCTATCGTGGCGCTAAGAAGCTGCTCTTTAGGAACAGCACAGCCATAAGTAACTTATCGTGCCCCCTCTATAGCGAACCTGATCCCTCCAAGGAGCATAACCCAAAAATTAATGTCTCATCAAAGCTAACATGATAGCATGTGTAGCCAGTTCAGATGAAATAGTAAAATCAACCAACATGACATGGGGCAAAGATGCCAACCGATTAGTTTCGAAGATCACCAGAAATAGTTTCCAGCTTACAGAAGCATAACAACAGACTAGCACCACAAGTAAAAATGGTACAAATGGCGAAATAATCCAGTTATAGTATACAGAAACCATGCATCTGGCATGTCAGGTTTGTCATAATCCCAAAAATAATTCAAAGGTAAGGCTTTTTATGTGTCACTAACAATCAGCAAGTGAACACTTTGAGACAGTGACGGGACTTCAGTACTTGACTTCCCCAATTTAATCAGAAGTTACCTAGGTCATTTCATTAAATAATTTTTGAACATAAAATAGATCATAAAAGCTTTTTGCCACCGACTCTGATAGTTGCACTGTTGCAAGGGCACATTGCAGGAGCCAATATGGTACTGAGTGGGCCAGAGCCTGTCCACAAAAGCCATTATGCAGCACATATGACGCAACAAAACAATTTACTCATTAACCTCAAGTTGACTATAGCTAGCAAGAATATGACTTTATAAAAGCAACCTACCAGACTAACACTAGAAAATAGATCACACATTGCAGGTGAGTTATGAGCAATCATATAGCACTTATTTGAATTGTCAAAGAATTTGAACAACAGTAACATGCACATTCCTCTGAGGTGTAACTCTAGTCAGTAAAATTTCATACTTAAGATGTTTGGGCGAGGGGCACTTGTGGCCCAATTTATGCACTTGGATATGAGTTTGCACCCAGACTTTTCCAAAGCATGCAAAAACTATATAATCATCCATGAAATTTCCATTGATCTTCCGAATAGTAAAAGGGAGTTAACTGCATATCAATCTTGCTAATTGATTCAATGTTCATTAACATGTTGAGCTTGTCATGGTGCGAAAAGATGAGTTTATCGTAACAAAGAGTACAGAGGAAAAAAGATCCCAGCTACGATATTTTGCCAAGCCGAAAGAAAGAAAAAGGTGAACTGATAAAAACCCCTCAACTTAACAAGATGATATGTTCACTATTAAGCTTTAGTGCTACTACATTCTAACATATTCTCATCCAGGTTAGTAAATTTGATCCCAAGAGGAAACAACCATCAAAGCTGGCACTTAAATCGTTTTAGATTATATGATTTGTCAGCAACCCCAATGATAACTAGAGCAGCATTTTTTTCACACGAGAAGCAGCAATATTGACAAAGAGGAAACAAGATTACTCAACTGTAAAGCAAACAAATGAAGACCTAGTTTGCACTATATATGCTAATTGCAGGACAGTCTGGAAAGGGAGCAGATGATCTAGCACATAATACAACATCATCAGGACATTGTGTGAGTATGTGAAAAACAAAACATATTTTTAGTGAGAATAGCAGAACACCATTTTGAATGACAAAAGTTCAATGCATCATGTGAATTTAGAAGTCTTATTACATCGTGAGATGCAATATCAGGCTACTGAAAAGAACAACTTATTTTCTACGATTTGCTTTTTTTATGTTTATAAGTCTAGATCACTAGTCGAATATTTGACGATTCCTACAGATAGCCAGACAAAATCATGTCTAGAACTAAAAATGTACTCCCTCTGTACCATAATATAAGAGTGTTTCTGACACTAGCATAGTGTTAAAAACGCTCTTATATTATGGGAAGGGGGGAGTAGAACCTATTAGGGCCATTTCAAATCACGGGAGAAAGAAATATAGTGTGCTTTAAACTGATAAAAGATATCTACGCTTACGCAATAAATTGCTAATTTCTCGCAAGAAATCAAACTGTTGATATCGTGCTGACGCAACTCCGCCCCAACCATTTATACATTTGTCAACGGCCGGGGCAGTAGCACGCGCAATTTCAACGGCGCAGCGGATCTATTCGCGTTGACTGCCGTAGCTGCTCGGAGGAACGGCAACTCCTCTTTTTCTTGACTCGTGTTCACATAAGACGTAGAACCTATTCGGGCCATTTCAAATCACGGGAGAAAGAAACATAGTGTGCTCCAAACTGATAAAAAATATCTACGATTATGCGATAAATTGCTCATTTCTCGCAACAAATTGAACTGTTGACATATCGTGCTGACGCAATTTCTCCCTGACCATTTATATATTTGTCAACGTCCGAGGCAGTGCACATGCAATTTCAACGGCGCAGCGGATCTATTCGCGTTGACAGTGACACAAGTGCTCCACTCACTGACAAGGAAGCCATAGCTGCTCGGAGGAACGGCAACCCCCTTTTTTCTTGACTCATGTTCACAAAAGCTCACTCTTAGTTCCCCCGCTTTAAGATGTAGGCTCAATTACCTAATTACCCAATTTGAACCATCTTCCTACTCCCTTCCCATCCACTACACGCACAAACAATTCCAAAACGAGATAAGCAATAAATACTACTACTAATCAGGAGACAGCATATAAATAAATAACTAGAGACAACTCCATGCAGCGGTGGTGCGGCGACTCACCGGTGTAGTTGAGGGCGCTGTAATTCTCAAGCAGCACCATCTCGCCATGGAAGTCGACGATCTCCTTGTGCACACGCAGCAGCTCCTCCCTGGACTCCATCCCGGCCGCCCTGGCGACCCTGTCCTGCAACTCCTGCACCACTCACCCGCAATCTCAATCAGATCAATGGGCTCGGCGAATTACAAAGAAAATAAAATAAAATGACGAATTGGACGGGCGGCCATCAGATCAATGGGCTCGGCGAATTACAAAGAAAATAAAATAAAATGACGAATTGGACGGGCGGCCGGCCGGCTAGCAACCTTCTGGCGGATGATGTACTCCTCCTCCTTCTCGACGAAGAAAGAATTGAACTTGTCGAGCTCGGCCTCCAGGAGCCGCATGAAGTCCGCCTCCTCGGGCGTCATCGCCGCCGCCGCCGCCTCGTCGCCGCCGTCCCCGGCGGGGTCCGAGACGCGGGCCCGCTTGGCCTGCCGCTCCTCGCCGTCGGCGCCGATGCCGATGAGCTTGAGCCGCTTCTTGAGGTCCTTGTAGGACAGGAACTTGTCGCGCCACTCCGGCAGCGTCTCCACGATCTGGCTGCTCAGGCTCTTGCCGAACTTCATCGCCCCAGGCCCACGGAAAGGGTCCTCGCCTCCTCGCACGATCTCCAATGGCGATGAGGGTGGGAGGATCAAGGGATTGTGAGGGCGTTCGGCGGTCCTGCGGCGGATGGGGGTGGTGAAATAGAGGGGAAAGGGAAGGGGGAGAGAGGATATGCGGAGACGGGCGAGGCGAGAGCAGAATATTCGCGAGCGGGAGGATATTATTTCTTTGCGGTGTGCGCCAGTGGTTGTTCTTCGCTTGCGTTTCTGGGTTTCTTTTTCCGGATCGCAAGTGAGACCCAGCACCAGCACTCATCACAGCGAGACCACGTCTGGGTTTGACGAAATTTGCAGGTGAATTGTTTTTCTTCTTCTAAAATAAAATGTCAGCAGGACAGCTACGGAATTTACTGGCCAAGAAAATAAAGATGCAAATGTACCAAAACAATGGTGTGGAGAGAAGAATGGTAAAAATATATATAGTGCAAATTCTTTCCCACTAGTTCTTTGTGTGTTTGTGGTTGGTGTTTGTTATTCTAATGTGGTGTTGAATATGGATCTCGACAAATTGATAGATATTCTGTTCGAACGGGGTATTGTCTTTCACCAAACGCTTCGCTTGAAAGGCTTCGTAAATATATCACAAGACATGCTAGGGCTTACCCAAAAAACAGAGAAACCGGTGTATTTCAAGTGATTAGATAAAATAGCATCACATTACAGATTGGTGCAGAACCCAACTACTCCCTCCGTTTCAAAATAGATGACTCAACTTTATACTAAAGTTAGTATAAAGTTAGGTCATCTATTTTGGAACGGAGGGAGTAGATGATAGTTATTTCTCGAGAAATTTGTACGATCATGATTTCGCTTGACTCCGTCGACAAGCTTCCTCTGCATCAGTGGTTCTTAAACTATCCAGGCTTCTCATCGTGCTCTTTGTCGTCTCTAGAGCGACAAAAATTGCTAGGGGTGGATGGTGATGTGACAACTTTGCTTGGGCAGATGTTGAGATGGAAGATGATGTTGCACAAAAATGGATGATCCAAATTCCAGCAAGCCAATACATATCACAATGAAAATGTTACTTTTGTGTGTTTGTGCATGCATATATAACTTTTCGCATGCTAGGGAGAGGGCCATGTCATTATCCACCTCTCACCAGTCACCACCATGTTCTTCACAACATCGATGTACATGCCATCTTATATTGTTAGGAAAGAACACAGGGATGCAATGCATATACATGCATGTATCTGTAACTTTTGGAATGTTAAGGGAACAGGTCATGTCAATGTCCGCATCTCCTCTGCCCACAAAATTCACCACTTTAATCTCCGCAGTGGCTGGATACATGATGAGGAAAATCATGATAGTGTAGACACTGTTTTTTTTTTGTGCGAATTGTATTGTGATCTACATAGACACTAGCTAAGTGAAGGGAGTCCGAGTGAGTTCCAATGTAACATGGTATTTACATAATTACTTGCATCTTCAATTAATTTCCTAAGGAAACCATAATAGAAGCCCCTCTGGTATAAATAAAGATCGAATTTTTTGTTCATGACAATTTGATACTAGATTGTGGATATGTCCAATTGTCCATCCATGTTGCCAATCAACTGATTTATTACAAAAATATCTTTCCCAACCAACCAGTTTGGGTCACATATATCTTATCTTGGTGACGAAACCTTAGCATGATTTGCTACACAAATATTATATGTTGCATGATCGCAAGACCACTTTTGATTAATAATTATATACCAATAATAAACATTAATAATGTTCTTCACATTGCTAAGAAAAATTCTAGGATGAAATAAAATTATACACATCTCAAGTGCGACACTATTGGCTTTTCTGATTGAGAAAAGAAGTATTGGTGCGAATTGAGCATAGCTCAATTGGTTAGGTTCCGTACGGAGTTTGTCACCCAATCATCTGGCACGGGTTCGCATTTTTTTGGATTTGTATCTGACTTTTCAGTGCAATTCTTTTAGTTGTATGGCATGTCTGTTAACTATGAGGTGCTTGTGTGACCTCATCAATCGAATATCTACCGACTGAGTCCTCCAAAGTTGCTCATAGGGTAGTGTGTGTGTGTGCCTGTTTTTGCATCCGACGTTGTGTTGTGTGTCTCAACAAAAAATTGTTTTGTTTTTGTTGGCTGAATTCAACACTTGTCCTTTTTGCAGATAACACCTTATGTATGTTGTGTTTCTCATACTATTTTTCATTTTTTCTATGGTAATTCACTTTATTGGTTTACATACCAGTTTATCAAAGAATAAGGTTTGCTCAATGGTGTCTCTCCAAGACCACTTAAATTAATTTTACCCGTCCAAATCATAGTTCCAACATAGCAATATGGGTTTAAAAAGGCATCTTCATTTATTTGCCCAGTAAAAAGATTATTCTCTGTTTTTTTTACTTGCTACAAATAGGATAACTATAAAAGACCAAAAAACATGACATTTATAAGGATGTCGTATAAGATGTTGGGTTTAGTCCCACATTGGTTGTGGGGGGAGACATAACACGACTTTATAAGGGCGGGGGTGTCCCCTCCTAACAGGCTAGTCTTTTTT